ACTACATAATAGTACCTGAGAAAACTTCCAACATCTCACCTCCTCAAGGGGCAACTGTTTATGAAAAAACGGTAAAGATTTTTCCCGAGTTTATTATTTCACAGAGTTCTCATGAAAAAGTTTCTTTAAAAAAAAAGTCCTTTTTAACGATTTTGCTTTTAGATTTTAAAAACATGTTTTAAAATAGTCTGATGCAAATTTAAGACATTTCTGTGTGATATATTTAATATAAGAAAAAAGAACAAGATCATCATGTATCATTGAGCTTACATTATAATTAAAATAAAAACATTTTTGTTTGATTAAAAGCCTCTTGTTTCTGGAGCGGACTTGACCCCAAGCCAAGGACCTTTGTTTGTTTTGACGAATCTAGAGGCTAAAGTAGAAGTTGAGGTCTGCGCAGGTAAAACAAAACAACTCATTCAAGTTCAAATAATCATTAATCTTATGTCATCTATAGGTATTTTAATTATGGCCAGCACAAACTGGTACAAAAATATTCTCAATGATAATAAATCTTTACTTATTTCCCTTATAGGAACACCAGGTTCTCCAAGCACACCTGAATCACCAAGCACTCCAGGATCACCAAGCACACCGGAGTCACCAAGTACTCCAGGATCACCAAGCACTCCAGGATCACCAAGCACACCTGAGTCACCAAGTACTCCAGGATCACCAAGCACACCTGAGTCACCAAGTACTCCAGGATCCCCAAGCACACCTGAGTCACCTAGTACTCCAGGATCACCAAGCACTCCTGGATCACCAAGCACACCCGAGTCACCCAGCACACCCGAGTCACCAAGCACTCCAGGATCACCAAGCACACCCGAGTCACCAAGTACTCCAGGATCACCAAGCACACCTGAGTCACCAAGTACTCCAGGATCACCAAGCACACCTGAGTCACCAAGTACTCCAGGATCACCAAGCACACCTGAGTCACCAAGTACTCCAGGATCACCAAGCACACCTGAGTCACCAAGTACTCCAGGATCACCAAGCACACCTGAGTCACCAAGTACTCCAGGATCACCAAGCACACCTGAGTCACCAAGTACTCCAGGATCACCAAGCACACCTGAGTCACCAAGTACTCCAGGATCACCAAGCACACCTGAGTCACCAAGTACTCCAGGATCACCAAGCACACCTGAGTCACCAAGTACTCCAGGATCACCAAGCACACCTGAGTCACCAAGTACTCCAGGATCACCAAGCACACCTGAGTCACCAAGTACTCCAGGATCACCAAGCACACCTGAGTCACCAAGTACTCCAGGATCACCAAGCACACCTGAGTCACCAAGTACTCCAGGATCACCAAGCACACCTGAGTCACCAAGTACTCCAGGATCACCAAGCACACCTGAGTCACCAAGTACTCCAGGATCACCAAGCACACCTGAGTCACCAAGTACTCCAGGATCACCAAGCACACCTGAGTCACCAAGTACTCCAGGATCACCAAGCACACCTGAGTCACCAAGTACTCCAGGATCACCAAGCACACCTGAGTCACCAAGTACTCCAGGATCACCAAGCACACCTGAGTCACCAAGTACTCCAGGATCACCAAGCACACCTGAGTCACCAAGTACTCCAGGATCACCAAGCACACCTGAGTCACCAAGTACTCCAGGATCACCAAGCACACCTGAGTCACCAAGTACTCCAGGATCACCAAGCACACCTGAGTCACCAAGTACTCCAGGATCACCAAGCACACCTGAGTCACCAAGTACTCCAGGATCACCAAGCACACCTGAGTCACCAAGTACTCCAGGATCACCAAGCACACCTGAGTCACCAAGTACTCCAGGATCACCAAGCACACCTGAGTCACCAAGTACTCCAGGATCACCAAGCACACCTGAGTCACCAAGTACTCCAGGATCACCAAGCACACCTGAGTCACCAAGTACTCCAGGATCACCAAGCACACCTGAGTCACCAAGTACTCCAGGATCACCAAGCACACCTGAGTCACCAAGTACTCCAGGATCACCAAGCACACCTGAGTCACCAAGTACTCCAGGATCACCAAGCACACCTGAGTCACCAAGTACTCCAGGATCACCAAGCACACCTGAGTCACCAAGTACTCCAGGATCACCAAGCACACCTGAGTCACCAAGTACTCCAGGATCACCAAGCACACCTGAGTCACCAAGTACTCCAGGATCACCAAGCACACCTGAGTCACCAAGTACTCCAGGATCACCAAGCACACCTGAGTCACCAAGTACTCCAGGATCACCAAGCACACCTGAGTCACCTAGCACTCCAGGATCACCAAGCACACCTGAGTCTCCAAGCACTCCAGAATCACCAAGCACACCTGAGTCACCTAGCACTCCCTTGTCTCCAAGTACTACTCCACCTTCTGAAGTTAGTGGTCCCACTGGTACTTCAACAGGTAACTTATAATGAGCAAAAAAATAAGTATATCCACAACTATATAAGTGTATTATTTATTTTTTAAATTTTTTCTTACCTTTTACCCAGTAAAGTTTAACATTTATTTTATGCATGATTCTCATTAAGTGTACTCCATTTTTAATCTTTTATTTTCATTATATTTTTTCAGGATGAAATTATTTTTTTTTGTCTTTATGTTTGATTCAATTTTTGTTTTCTTTTTTTCTTTTTTTTAAGCATTATTTTGTTTTAAAAAAATTCATTATTCTATATTTTAATGACTTTTATTTTAATCTTATAATCAGTTGCAACACCATGCAAATTGGTCATGACCAGTATCCCACTAGATAAAAGAATTCTGTCTACCATAGAAAGTAACCCTGAATTAGTATTGTATCCAGTGTTAGATGGAGCACAATATTTTGGTGATATCAAAGTTAGTGGACCCAAAGGTGGAGCTGATTCATTGGTTCTTATTAATCCTGACTATAATAACCAAGGTGTAAGTACCACTTTATTGGCTATTCAAACTAAATATTTTGTAGTTATATAACTGGGTCACTACTGATATGACTCTAAGTGGGCAATCTTTAACCCAAAGTGTTAAGTATATTATTTTAACATCTTGTGCTTTAAAGCCACAAAATCATGCAAGCCTTATGAAATAGAGATAGAGGATGAATTAAATTGTACAATATATTTTGTAATGAAACGATTTGTGCTGAAAATAGTTGTTTTATGAAAATGAAACTTCATATACATTGATTTGCAATTATAATTACATACAGGGTAGCTAAAAACTTTTTCTAAGCTTTTCCCATGTAATGTGTAATTGTATTGTCAATGACAAATTATTAGCTTCCAGAAGCAGTAAACGAATTAATACCTTTCATCTTTCAGGTGTTGTTTAACAATAAGTATTTGCTATTTTGTTTCTTTATTTTTTATCATAAACTGATTAATTATTAATTTTTTTACATTTTTACCTAAAATGTGAATATTTGGCTAAGTCTTCATTAAATATATGGTAGACTTTTCTACTTTTACCACAGGCAATTATTGGTGATGGTCATCAAAAGGCTACTGAGTTTACGTCAGGTTAGTAGATTCTTTGACATCATTTTATCAGTTGTCCCCAACCTTATTAAATTACAAGTCTTTACACTTATTTAAACTAAAGGCAGCAATACTTTTCAAGCAGCAATTTTACTCTTCCTTTATTTCCAAATAGGACCATTAAAACTCAAGATTCACATTTTTTTCAAAGTATTGATATATTTTAATTTAAGAAATACCACCATTTTAAATGTTTTACTTTATAAGTTTTTGGAAATTTCAAAATATGACTATGTCTGCATAGTAAGACACACCAAGAGTAAAAATTTGTGGGGAAAAAATGCTTTACTGTTTGCCCATCAACTCAAGAAAATTTCTTTTGCATTTGGTGTATCTGGATTTCATTTTATTTTCTGCAGCAGCTGTTCAGTTGGCTTTGTTTTGCATGGAGCATTTGTGTTTCCAAGGAGTTCTTATAGGCTTTATACTCTTGTTGTTTGTTCCTACTTGTCTGAAAATAATCAGAACACTTTTAGTGAGGTTTTCACTGTGTTTTTCAAGCATTTCTTCTGACCACAATCATAACACCGGCCATACTAGAGCACATCATTAAATATTCTGTTAGGCCAGTGGTCTGTCATTTTCAACAAATTGTCCCACCAAGAAAAAATAGTCTATGTCTTATATAAAAAAAAAATGCTTTAACTCTTTCAATTTAGCACAAACTGTTTCCAGTGCAAGGATGTGAGCATAAAAAAATTAATTTAAAATATAACCAGGCCTAAATATAGTTTTAAAATTTATTATATTAGAACACAAATATTTTCTGATTCTAAAAATGGCTTTTAAATCAGATATGTTCAAATTCGGCTTTAACACAAGTATGTTCAAATAAGTATTATAATAATGTAGAACAGCATTTCCCAAATTCTGAATTGTTATGAGCCAATGGACCACTAAAAAAATATCAAATCACCAAAATAAAGAAAGAACTATAAAATACAATCTATTACTTTACCTAACCACACTCATTCTGCTCATTCAGTTTATATTAAGTTTTGAGAGAGTGGTTTTTTTTTTTTTTCTCTTAATAATTTTGTTTAATTTTGCAGTTTATAAATGGATAATGAAACATTTAGTATAAAATAAAGAGCCAAAAATATTCATTATATATAAAAAGCGATATGTGAAGCTCCCAAAAAGACAAGGCTAATTTTTTTCCTTATGTCATTATATCTGAAAACTTTGTCATTGCTTCTTTTAAAATATCTACCATACACACACTGACACAATAAATGAGAAATTAATAGCTCTGGGAATGAAAATGTTAGCATCTTTAATATGTGATAAGAACAAGAGCCACAATTACATGCTAGTGCTAACAAAAGATAAGAATTGCTTAGATTTGGTTTTTCTTTCCTGTAAAATGTTTTATTGCAATAGTTAACATATTTTGTAAATTGTCTGAAATACTTATTTCAGAGAACTTGCAAAAGGATATTTTACAGTTTAAAGGTAGGTTACTCAAGTTTTGTAATTAAAAAATAACACAAAATGTTCAATAATATTATCTTTATATTCCTATATACACATATAATGATAACTAAAAGGAGCAATAATTTTAAAATATTCAACATCTTACTCATGATTACAGGAAACGTTGTTGTTTTTTTCATTTTTTTTTTTGTATGCTTTTAGAGGTATATCATATTAAAAAGTAATTAATGAATTTAAAACATAATACTACAATAAATATGACTTCAACAGAGTTCTAATTTTATTAATTTTTAAAAGAACCAATTTTTTAAATTACCATGTATTTAATATAGCAGATGTCAGAGGTGTCTTTAAATGCTCTACAAAAATACTATTTTTCAATTTATAAATGAATAATTATCTATCTTTATTATAGAGTCCCTAAAGGCTTCTCATGTATATATCATGAGCAGTAACACAGCTGTAATAATATTTAAAGCAACTTATGGTGAATCTTATAACATTCAACCTGGTGCCCCAGTTTATGAAGTGAAGGTAAATAGCAAATATACATTTTTCTTCTCTTAAATAAGAAACAATTTTTACTTTTTTATTAAAAAAATTTTGTCTTGTTGAATTGTCCAAATTTTCTTGGAATTTAAAAAAAATGTGATTCCAGTAATAGAGTTTCTCCATTAATATAATACTGCTTAATGAACTTAAATAAAGGCAAATTTATCAGCTGCTCAAGTTAGTTTTTGGTTTTTTTCTTTTGATTATCAGAACTGTTTAGAGAGGTTTGTATAAACATTGGAGCTTCTTCATTAAAAACAATGTTTATAATTAGTGTCCTATTCTTACTTACTAGTAGACAATAATAATTATGGTTTTGATAAAATATAACAGAGCAAAACTGATGTAAATGGAAATGAAGAATCCAATGGCAAATTGTACATTCTGGTACCACCAACTGAATCAGTTCAAATAGAGATATGTGAAGGTGAGTTAAAAAGAATGCAATCATAAGAAAATTCAATTTAATTTAAATAGATATTCAATATTTTATAAACATGTGTTTTCTTGAAAATAAATTCAAACAATTATGTTTTTAGAAATTATGAAAAGTAAAAATTTAATAATTGAAAATCAATTTTTAAAAACATTGTCTCTACTCATATGCAATTAACAAATATTCAACTAACTTGTAAATAATTTAACATATTAATGTATCAATTATTAAATATGAAAATAAAATAAATCTCAAAATTTTACTTAAAGTGAATGAGTCACCATCTACACCTGAGTCACCAAGTACTCCAGGATCACCAAGCACACCTGAGTCTCCAAGTACTCCTGGATCACCAAGCACACCTGAGTCACCCAGCACACCTGAGTCACCAAGTACTCCAGGATCACCAAGCACACCTGAGTCACAAAGTACTCCAGGATCACCAAGCACTCCTGGATCACCCAGCACACCTGAGTCTCCAAGTACTCCAGGATCACCAAGCACACCTGAGTCTCCAAGTACTCCAGGATCACCAAGCACACCTGAGTCACCTAGTACTCCAGGATCACCAAGCACACCTGAGTCTCCAAGTACTCCAGGATCACCAAGCACGCCTGAGTCACCCAG